GATCAACGGTTGAGACCTGCTCGATCCAACAACTTTCATGAAAACCGATTGCACGACGCCCGAGGATGAAATCGGTTTAGCGCGTTTTTTGACGTTCACGAGTTTATAGATCRCGTGACATCAGGCATAGACTAGACGCGACCTAGGTTGTTCCTGGTTGAGCCGGGTGGCTGAACAAGTCCTATCGATGATTTGTCCGTCAAGCCGCCTAGCCCTCGGGCCAAATCCACTTGGCTCGTCATGAACTCCCCGCACCAGGTCGGGACCCTTGGCTCAGGGAGTGGGGGGCAACTGATGAAGGGTGATTTGGCCCGACCTAGTAGAGAGGGGACATGTGGACACGACCTGACCAAGAGATGACAGCTCAGCCTAACATGCCAAGTTCACAAAAGATCGAGCTCGGATATTCAACTACCTCGGTACAGGTCACATCGGGACAAGGTCACTTTGGGACGAGGTTGCCTTGGTACGAAGTCACCTCGGTACAAGGTCGCAACAAGATCACMTCGGCCCCAAGGCACTTCGGCATTCAATCTAGTTCGGTACTAAGAAGCACCAGCTCGAGGATACCGACTCGGATCACTACATCATGATCCCGGAAATCCCTCCAATGGCCCTCGAACCTTACGGGATCGTACCTTGTAACAGCTAGCATTATCTTCTCCCCGCCCGGTTCAGGCAGGATTGATAAGCCTTATCAGTTGATAGCGTTATCCCCCAATTAAAGCAGAAACGGATCTCGTCGTGGCGAAGATCCCGGAACCGATCCGCAAAACCCGCGAGGATTCAGCTATATAAAGTCTTCAACCCCGAGGGCATAAGGTACACGTGATTTCTCTGCTCTCTTGCCCTCTACACTCTTAAGCTATTTCAGCTCACAACAGTCTACTAACTTAAGCATCAGAGCGACCTCGTCGGGCTACAACCYCGGGTTCTCTGATCCTCCTCTTGTAGATCAACCTAGTCCGCCATCCGACTGGAAGCCAAATCACCTCCAGCAGGGAGCAGTACCGTAGAAGAAGAGCTCAATCCGTCAGAGATTGCCGGGTCCAGAAACCCTAAGAGGTCTGATATCTTCTCTTCTCTTTGTCTCTAATTCCCTTTCTTTAATTATCGATTTCTTACTTTTTCTTACATTTTTTAATTGTCAAAGCCTATAACCATTGATGATCGATCCTCTCTTTCTCAATCCTCCTCCTCTCAAACTTCTTCAAATCACTTCAATATATACAAATATCCGGAAGAAACTCCTGTCCTCTGTTATCTTTTTGCATCAAGCCCTGGAAGGCTTTCAAAATACCTAGAAGTCCTGAACTCCAAAAGAGATTACTGAGTTGTCTTTCTGGCTTCGATCCTTGAAGAGGAACATGACGAAGCATTAATTAGTATTGTGTCTTCTCTTATTTTTTAGCCTACCGCAACATCATCTAACCCTAGAAGTCAATCGTTACTGTATTGTTGTTCTCTTCCATAAGCTGCATTAAAGCGAGTTTATCTCTCCATTCCTCTTTCTCGCTCGTTCACTTGCAGAGCGGACGATGAGACATTTCGTAGTTGGAGAAGTTTCTGTGTTGGATTTTAATCTCATAAGAGATTAAATCTAATGGGTTTGATTGGTCAATTACATGAGAAATTGCACCTACATACTTGATTGAAAAATTAGTTTTTCTCTTACAAAATTCAGTTTTGAACTTGTCCCATATTGGAATCAGACTTCAAAACACATTTTTTCGAAATCCACTGTCTGCTACAACCTCATAGAAGGTTTCTCTAGAGATTCTTCAACTTTGCTGGTTGCCGATTCTCACTCAAGGCTCTGTTGCATCCTATGAACGGATTTGCCTGTAACCCAACAACAAACTCAGTGAAACTGAGTGGGGGCAAATAACGTTCTAAAAACAGTGTCTTCAGACGCGCCTCAAAGCTTCTTCTCCAAAATTACAATGACCCCATTTTCCAACATTCTAGAAGGTGAAAAGAAGAATAAAGTATGCAATTCATGAAGGAGGCCGTATAGCGATGGAGGGAAGTGGGAGTGACGAGGAGGTAGTGCCGATGGAGCTGGTGGCGAGTTACGAGAGGGTGAGGAGGCTGGCCTCAGGGAACGCAGTGGTGGTCTTCAGCTTGAGCGGGTSCTGCATGTGCCACGTAGTGAAGCGTCTACTGTTCGGCCTCGGCGTGGGACCCACCATCGTCGAGCTCGACGATGAGAAAGGTGGGAGAGAGATGCAGACCGTGCTGTTCCAGCTGGTTGGCGACGTCCAGCAGCCCCTCCCGGCGGTTTTCATTGGCGGCAAGTTCCTGGGTGGCCTCGAGACCGTCTTGTCCTGTCATATTATCATGGCTATTGGCTGGTTACAGTTACATGGAATTGTTTTTCTTTTCAGTGTAAGACCAAAATACCCCTATTCCTTCACTACGAAAATTGTTTATACTAAACATTAAAAGTCGGGGCAATTCTGTTCTGTCCGGTCCTATATGACCATATGTCTCGGTACATTTACCATACGTAATGCGATGCGGCCGGCAATACGTGAACCGTATCGGTTTTCGCCCATGTTTCACGGATTCGGGTTCTTTGTTCCATTGTAATTTTCTGCGGGATCCCAGGCCTTAAAATTTGGCCAGTGCAGATTGAAAGTATCAAAATAATGTTAACCGATACGTTTCGGCGGATAGGAATAAGAATCGGATTCGGAATCCTGTCCGTTGGGTTTTGTTTCTGGTCGTGAAGAGACGAACGCGTACCAGGCAGAAATGGACGTTGAGAATAAAAGAGGAGTGCACGTCACGTACCGTAATCAAAATTTGGGTTTTTGGGCTGGGTTCTTTCAAAATTTCACAAAACCTAACCCATGAATTTTGATAGATAACATCTTATTCGCTATCACGTTTATGATTCCAATTTATTGGTCAGTTGTTTTTAAATATCATATCTTTACCATATCATAGTGGAACCTTTTTTTATTGACAATTTGATAATCACCACTGTAATTATCTAGATAGAAAAACCTATGGTGCCAGAAAGACATGATATTGGAGAGGCTTTGATCAATCAAAACCCTTATGAATCTGGATGAAAACCCACCTTATTGGCTACCAATAATGCGGGTTGCTTGGTTCCAGTATCATGTCTAAGCTCTATGCTAAATATATAACTGGCCTTTCTTTTCTTTTTCTAGAGCATTCTTGAAATTATTATTTAGTTATTGAACAACTAACTAAACAAAACACATTTCCATTTCATCCACATGTGTTCAAAGATGCAATTCAGGAGTACAAATTATTCAATTGCAAATTAGAAATCATAGTTGGGCTAAACCTTTCCATTTATTGGATAATTAAAGCCTTGAGAAGAAAAATTAATTACCATTTTAAGTCTTCATCAAAGGCTTAAACCAAATAAAGCAATGGAGATGAATCGCCCTCATGTTTGCCATTGGTTGTTGAAATAGTACTTCCATAAGTAGTGTCTATCTCCGTCAGATTATTGGTGTAGTGGCATGAAATTCCTTTTTCCAACCACATATCCTCTTCGAGTGAAGGTTCATGAGATCTTACTATTCTCTCAAGATCTGCTGCAACTTCTTTCATGGTTGGCCTTTTCTTTCCATTTAATTTTAAGCATCTCTTTGCAACCCTGGCAACAATCAGAAGCTCATCTTCCTTTGCTTCTTTCACCACTTGAGTTTCCAAAATGTTTAATAAACGATTCTCTTTCATCAAAGATGTAAACTGCATAGTTAGACTTTTTGCCTCATTAGGTCTCGAAGAATCGATCGCCTTTTTCCCAGTTAAGAGCTCAACAAGAACTACTCCAAAACTATAAACATCACTCTTTTCTGTGAATTGGCCTGAATGAAGGTGCTCTGGGTCCAAATACCCGAAGGTCCCTTGCACTGCTGTAGTCAAGTGAGTTTTATCAATGGGAACTGATCTTGATATCCCAAAGTCRGATACTTTAGGATTATACTTTTCATCCATCAGAATGTTACTGGGTTTTATATCCCTATGAAAGATTGGGATGGAAGCTGCAGAATGCAAATAAGCAAGTGCTCCTGCAATTTGCACGG